AAAATGACCTGAATCAGGAGATTGGATGAAGAGGCTTGGACCATGGTTGAATGAGCTTTGACCAACTTGAATGTTGCAAAGCCTGATTGATTTGTGTAATATATGTGAATGCAGGTGGTGATCCACCTGTAGATCCTCTGAAACAGCACTGGAATACCTTTCATCCCATCAGCATAAGCCATGAAGAGTTGTGTGGATTTACCAAAGGGCTTAGTGAGCTATGGTGATTCTTTGATGTACTCACTATTGAGAGCCCAGGATAAGAGGGTGATCAGGGTAAGCAGACAGGGGACTGCAGACAGGGGAGTTGAAGAGGGAGAGCAAAGCAACCCCACCGCTGAAGAGGCTACCCGGTGAGAGTACTAGCTGTGGTGTGAGTGTGTGTGTGCCTGACTGTTTGAATTTTACAGTTTGAAGTGTGAATTGAGAGTCTGATTCCAGGTGAGTACTAGCAGTTTCAGTTTCAGCTTCTGTGGCAGTTGGGACTGAGAGCCTGCCATTGTTCCCTTGATTGCCTCTGATTAGCCTCAGGCTCAGCCTTCCCCTGTGTGACTCAGAAGGGGGCAGGCCTGACCTAGGAAAGCAGGCTTTAAAAAGCCAGAGCAGTGCGACCAGGGGACTGCAGACAGGGGAGCTGAAGAGGAAGTTGAGCAGAGGGAGTGACTGATGGTGATGAAGACCCGAAGCGCTTGTGCCAGTACTTCTCCTGTCTCCTCCACCTGTGCCTGTATCCAGACAGAGAACCTGAGCATGGATGCCTCTACCCAGGTCCTGGTGTGGTCTTGCTGTATTTGTGGCTTGCAATTCCCACTGAGTGATCTCCAGGCTGGGGGAGACAACCGTTGTGAAAGGTGCCTGCTGGTGGAATCTCTCAGGCAGCAGGTGGGAGAGCTACAGGAGGAGGTGGCCAGGCTGAGGAGCATTCGAAGCCATGAGGAATTCCTGGACAGTATTCCTGTGGAGTCCACGGAGGTCACTGTCCTAGGATGTGGGACTGTTGACCAGCCACTTATGGAGGAGGCTTAACAAGGAGATCTTGCATGATCTCAAAATAAAAAAGGAGTCATATAAAAAATGGAAACTAGGACAACTAACAAAGGATGAATATAGGCAAGCAACACGGGAATGCAGGGGCAAGATTAGAAAGGCAAAGGCACAAAATGAGATCAAACTAGCTACAGGCATAAAGGGAAACAAGAAGACCTTTTATAAATACATTAAAAGCAAGAGGAAGACCAAGGACAGGGTAGGCCCACTGCTTAGTGAGGAGGGAGAAGCAGTAACAGGGAACTTGGAAATGGCGGAGATGCTCAATGACTTCTTTGTTTCGGTCTTCACCGAGAAGTCTGGAGGTGTGCCTAACGTAGTGAATACAAGCAGAGAGAGGGTAAGTTTAGAAGATAGGATACACAAAGAACAAGTTAAAAATCACTTAGGAAAGTTAGATGTCAGCAAGTCACCAGGTCCTGATGAAATGCATCCCAGGATACTCAAGGAGCTGATAGAGGAGGTATCTGAGCCTTTAGCTATGATCTTTGAAAAATCATGGCAGACAGGGGAGATTCCAGAAGACTGGAAAAGGGCAAATATTGTGCCCATCTATAAAAAGGGGAATAAGAACAACCCAGGAAATTATAGACCGGTCAGTTTAACGTCTGTCCCAGGGAAGATAATGGAGCAGGTAATTAAGGAAATCATATGCAAACACTTGGAAGGTAATAAAGTGATAGGGAATAGCCAGCATGGGTTTGTGAAGAACAAGTCATGCCAAACTAATCTGATAGCTTTCTTTGATAAGATAACGAGCCTTGTGGATAAGGGAGAAGCGGTGGATGTCATATACCTAGACTTTAGTAAGGCATTTGATACGGTCTCGCATGATATTCTTATTGATAAACTAGGCAAATATAACTTAGATAGGGCCACGATAAGGTGGGTGCATAATTGGCTGGATAACCGTAGTCAGAGAGTTGTTGTTAACGGTTCTAAATCCTGCTGGAAAGGGATAACAAGTGGAGTTCCTCAAGGGTCTGTTTTGGGACCCGTACTGTTCAATATCTTCATCAATGATGTAGATATTGGGATAGAGAGTACTCTTATTAAGTTTGCAGATGATACCAAACTGGGTGGGGTTGCGACTTCTTTGGAGGATAGGGACATAATTCAAAATGACCTTAGCAAGTTAGAGAAATGGTCGGAGGTAAACAGGATGAGGTTTAATAGAGAGAAATGCAAAGTGCTCCACTTAGGAAGGAACAATCAGTTCCATACATACAAGATGGGAAGCGACTGTCTAGGAAGGAGCATGGCGGAAAGGGATCTAGGGGTCATAGTGGACCACAAGTTGAATATGAGTCAACAGTGTGATGCTGTTGCAAAAAAAGCAAATATGATTCTAGGTTGTATTAACAGGTGTGTTGTAAGCAAAACTCGTGAAGTCATTCTGCCGCTCTACTCTGCGCTAGTTAGGCCTCAGCTGGAGTACTGTGTCCAGTTCTGGGCGCCACATTTCAAGAAAGATGTGGAGAAATTGGAAAGGGTACAGAGAAGAGCGACAAGAATGATTAAAGGTCTAGAGAAGCCTATGAAGCCAGGCTTCATGAACTGGGCTTGTTTAGTTTGGAAAAAAGAAGATTAAGGGGGGACATGATAGTGGTTTTCAAATATCTAAAAGGGTGTCACAAGGAGGAAGGAGAAAATTTGTTCCTCTTGGTTTCTGAGGACAGGACATGGAGTAATGGGCTTAAAGTGCAGCAGGGGAGGTTTAGATTGGACATTAGGAAAACATTCCTAACTGTCAGGGTGGTCAAATATTGGAATAAATTGCCAAGGGAGGTGGTGGAATCTCCCTCTCTGGAGATATTTAAGAACAGGTTAGATAGACATCTGTCAGGGATGGTGTAGACGGAGCTTGGTCCTGCCTTGAGGGCGGGGGGCTGGACTCGATGACCTCTCGAGGTCCCTTCCAGTCCTATGATTCTATGATCATTGGTGCCAGGATTGGGATCTATAGGACATGCCACCATGCCTTCAAGAGCTTGATGCCTGTGAATAACAGTGATGAGGAAATCAGTGACAAGGAAGCTGGAATTACCCCTGGTGTGGCAGGATTCATATGAGAAGCAACTCTCTCTACAATGCCACTGCAGCCAGGGGACATGTGCCTCAACAATCTATGCCGTGACCCCTGCGATGCTGGAGACTCAACATCTAGTCTGAGTGGGGCTATGAGGGGCTCTCCTGTCCAAATGTGCCAGATAATGGAAGAATTGGGCACTTGGTGACCAGGAGGCAAACAGTGGCTTCCCGCTGTACCAGAGCCCAACAGATGCCAAAGGAAACCGTACCAGCATCATCAACATGTGCTGTCTGCAAAGCCTCCAGCATAGAAGGGGCTTGCACATCCATGATGGGAAGAAGGGAACCAGCAGGACTTCTGCATTCAGCCTGCACCAGGATCTTCTCCTGTGGATGGTCTGCCATGCAGTCAGCCTTCTTGGCCTTCTCCTTGCAAGAAGCTAGGCACTCACTCTTGCCTCTCTTCTTCGCTCTCCTAAGTCAAGCGAGTGCCGCACCGACAGAGTGCTCTGCACTGAAGCACTGGTGCTTGGTGCCAAGTCTGAGTGCTGGTCCTGGAGAGCCAGGGCAGACTCCATCAGCAGGACTTTTAAACATATATCCCTATATTTTATTATCCTGGGTCGAAGAGACTTGCAGATTTGGCACTTGTCTGAGATATGTTTCTCCCAGACAATGGAAGCAGTCAACATGCACATCACGGACTGGCATAGGCCTACAGCACACAGAACAGGCTTTAAAACCAAGAGAGTGGGGCATGTCTACAGGAGACTAACAGACTGCTAATTATTATCTAGTTATAGTTTCCCTCTAGTTAGAGAAGTATTTACAACTGAATAGACACATGAACTAATACTACAGCTAAGGCTGGAGCACACTGTTCCAAGCACTGTCACTGGCAGCAAGAAGGAACTGAGGGGGGCCTGGAGGGTGCCCAATATAGCATGGCGTGTGCGTTCCAAGAGACATAGACCTAGTCTCCTACAGGTACTGCTGGAGGGAAAATCTTCGACACCAGTGCATGTGGCGAGCACACACACCTATGTTGAATGGATATGCACAAGCACTCAAAAGAGCACAATTCTTTTATAAACCTAGGCATACTTATTTTGTTTGAAATGAAGGCAAAAAAACCTCTGTGGAATCAGAAGGAAAAGGAGAGTTAAGTTTCTGAAAGAGCCAAACAATAGATCTGACCCCATCACAAGATAAAAAAATAATCAATTGTTGACACAGTAGAGAGCAATTTAGTAAATCACCTATGAGGGTAGGCCAACTTTGACCTATTATATATATATATATATATGGACACAAAAGTGGAGATCAACCAAGTCTTAACTTTAGCAAAGACGTAATTCCACTTTAAGTATTTCAGCAGCAGACTTCCAAGTTACTTAAGATAGAGTCAGCAGAAATATCTAAAATTAACTGTGTAGCCTCCAGTCGTTCTGCCGCCACCCCTGAATTTTATTTTCCTTATCTTAACAGAGACATTCAGGAATAGATATTAGGGAGCTGAACATGTAAGGATATCTATTTTTAATATTGGAAAGTCATAAGCAAACTAGGGGTCCTCTGTGCATATTCGAACTACATGAAACCATAGTTACAAAAGCATTCTAAATATAAGGATCCTACTTTTCTTTAAAAACATCAATATTCAGTCTTCCTGAGCATCAGTGTTTAAATCACAATTCTATTAACAAGAACTATAATGTTAAGCTTTACTTAACTAAAACAAAGACAAAATTTGTTTGTTTTTTTGCCACTTGTAAAAACTTCAGATTAGATAATGATGTCTTAATTACATAATGAAGGTCATAAGTATGGAAGAAAGGGGTTCACTCCAACTGTTGACTCTCTCATAAGGCAAAAAGTATTTTTAATTGTAGTGGAATAATACAACAAATCAGACCCAACGATAGAGAAATAAAGTTTATAGAAATGTAAATATTAAAGTATAGCTGCTGATAGTAACTGAGCTGGTTTATGACTGAGGAAAGGCATTCTAGTTTTACTACAATTCACTTTTTTGTCTAAGCACACTTGTTATAGTAACTTCCAGTCTGATTTATTTCCATCAAATACAGTACATTAATCCAAACAAGAGCATGTACATTCAATACAGAACATTTTTAGCAACAGTTACAGTCCAGTTCCCATTCACAGTGTATTTTATTTTTAGTGCAAAGCACTAAAAAGGCCAAACATTTTTCTATTCATAAAAGCATATTTTTTAAACTCATGACCTTGTGATCAACATTTTTAGATTTTTTTTTATACAAAATGTATATATGACACAAGGCACCTCCCTAAATAAGAGAGTGAACCTGTATAAAAACATGGTATTTCTTCTGATGTACAGTACCTTTCAAATTGTGGCAATTTGACACAAATCACTCAACAAATATTTTCTAAAAAGTAAAAATAAAAAAAGACACACATTGATGCACAGAAGCCTGCCAAGATTTCCATAATGGTAGGTGTGCTACTGTTTTGCTAAAATCTTGATTATAAAATAGACAAAAGGATCAGTAAGCATTTTGCAAATCCTACAATAACGGCAAGTGCTACCTAAAGTGGTCATTTAAAATCTTGTGAGAAAAAATATTGAGTTTCTTTCACACTATCCTCCCTTTAAATGACATTAAAAGAAATAAAACTAGCATTTTAAGAAGTGGTTGTGCATGGATTGTCTGTCTATAAAACATCAGAAAATATTCACTACCTTCATATTAACATTAGTGTGTTGTTCTTTTAAAACGGTAACTGAAAAATTAACTGCAACTATTATTAAAGTGCTTGTGTATAATATTTAAACACAAAATTAAGGAATAAGGGAATGTGTGGTTTTGTAAACTTCCTAGATGTTTACAAATGAAAGGTTGTCCTATGAACCATGCTTGAAAAAAAAGTATTGGCAATATCACTGCAGCAATTTCAGAACAGTGAAATTCACTACATCCAAAAGTTGGAAAATTAATCCAACTGAATGAAGTTATGGCAAATACTAAAAAAATAGAATATTTCAGCTAATATACACTAATATGCTGTTTGCTCTTATACATTCATTTGTAATAAATTTAAAACGGTTCATAAAGCAAAAGTTTGCAAGCCAAGCAGAATACCACAAAGGGTATGTCTATGGAGAAGATTGACCCTCCGGAGGTCGATCTTCTAGCATTCAATGTAGCAGGTCTAGTGTAGACCCCCCAAATGGAACACTGAGGGAAGCTTCTGCAGGCATCCTGTACTCCTCATTCTGCAAGGAGTAAGGGAAGCTGATGGGAGTGTGTGCTCCCGTCTGCCTCCCGCAGTGTAGACGCTGCCTCAGTTTAATATCAGCTGAATCCAGCTATGCATTTTGCATAGCTGGATGTCATACCTTAAGCTGACCTGCCTGGTCTAGTGTAGACCAGGCCAAAGAGTCACAGAATTGGTTCACCAGCATTAGCAGTACTAAGGCCAGTATCTATGGTGACCTCTCAAGCTGATTTCCTAAATGAAAAAAAAGCGTTTTTATTAAGAAAATTTATTGTAAAGGGTTTTGTTTTTAAAATCACAGAAAGTTCATTTTCTATTATAACTTTGCTGAACTGCATAGAGACAAGAGTAGTTAACCACTACAGATGCATGTTGTGCATTGCAAGTCAACAGTTACTTGACAGTGTTGGGATGAGACATTATCATATAACAAGCAATCAGAATTGTTATTAATTTAGCAAGAAAACAAGAGTTTGTAAAAGTATTTCCTCATTTTTCTTATGGTACCATTTTCAAGATATTAGTGGTTCTAACACCAAGTTAAAGTCTTTTCACTCAAATGAACTCCAAACTGTCCGTACATCACTTGATGTTATCTGAGGAGAAATGGGAATAAATTAATATTTTTAGTTTACCAGTACAACTTCTCTTACTAGTATTGCAACAGTGAAATCACTTTTAAATGCAAGGTAGTACTTAACAGTTACCAAAAAAAATTTTAACTCCTCTTTTCCTCTCAGGCAAGATTACTGTAATTTTAAGAGCTAACCCCACACATTTTTAAATTGTTTTCTTTAGCAGAGAGTGGTTATCAGATCACTACAAATCCACCCCTCTATACATGAGTGGTAATCAGCTGGTGAAGGTGAACCAAGACCTAGTTGCCTTCAGGAAGAGAGCATTTCTGAGTTGAAGTCAATAGCAGGTGCAGGACAAGGCATATGTATTTAGCCTTATTTTCACTTAAAATATATTTATTATCAGGAGAGAGTTCTGAAGTAATAATTTAAATACTCCCCTCCACACATACAGCCCCCCCCCCTTTTTTTTATTACAAATCTCTGCAATATCCAGAAATCAGTCAGGTAAAAACTGTAATGATTCTGCAACTTAGGATGGCCATTTATAGGTTATTTTTATTTAACCAAGAAATAATATTTCATAATTAGAAGACTACCTGTGCCATATTTTGTATGAAACAATAAAAACAATGAATCATCATGATAAAGAAAAAACACCAAATTTAAGGCCCTATCCTAGAAACTCTTACTCATGAAAAGAGATTTTTTTTAGGATTATACTATTATGTTGACACAGTGAGGGAAACAATGAAATAAGTTAAAAGAAAAAAAAAAAAGTTTAAAGCTGTCTGGTTATTCCAAGTTAGATGTAGAGATTTATTTACTCTGCTGTAATTCATTTTTACATCAACTATAGACATATGGTCATAATATATTTTTGTAACTATCCTACAAGTGTGTGCATTGGCAGGATAAACCATGTGAACAAGTACCAAATAAGTGCAAAACTAAATTTAAAACATCTACTGTAAACATAAGCCAATGTAAATTGTTTAGAAGACCTGTACAGCCGAAATATATTAGGTTGCAACTTCCTGCAGAAGGAAAAAAGATTAGAAATTGACTTCCAAGCCATTGAAAACATATTTTACTGAAGAAGCAAATGTAATATCTACATTACTTTTGCATTTCCTACACCATCAAGTCTATTGGAAAGCATTTGTTCAGCAACAAAATAGATTTAGAGGAGGCGTGGTTTGTTTGTTTTTAAATAGAGGCGAAACTAGTTTCTCACCAGACAAGAGCTTTTGATCTTGTACTTCTGCCTTTGGTTTTGGTTTCTTCTGGTGAATGAGACGCATTTGCCTTGTGAGTTTTCTTATGGTGTTCTAAAAAAGTCTTTTTTGCAAATGCCTTTCCACATTTATTGCATCTGTGAAGAGAAAAGTTTTTTGTGACTTTTACTTCTATGCCAACATCAGCTCCTTCAAACTTTTTACTGGGTGAGTTAGAGGCAACATCCTGTTTTGAACCAATCTGTCTTGCTTCATCCCTCTGAGGGCCTCTTTTTGCCACCTTATTTAGAACAAAATCAATAGGCTTTTTTATTGCTCTGATTTCTAAACTTGCAGTTATTTTACCAAGGTAACGTGATGACTTTTTATGAACTACAGTTATATGCCTTATTACATCACGTTTGCGACGTGTTTCATAAGCGCAGAGAGGGCACCTGTAGAATTTAACATAAATGTTATTTCCATCTGTGTGCAACTCTATGTGTTTTGTCAAGTTCTGTTTAGAAGTAAATTGGCGTTTACACAGTTTACAGTAAAGCTGCTTGAAGTCAAAGCCAGCTGAAAGTTTTGGCTTTCTTGTTTTTTGTTGACCACCTGCAGGTGGATTGGTTGATTTAGGGGTTTCAAGGTCTCGTTTAACTTTATTTTTCTGTGCTGCTGGTGTATTCTTTTTCTCATTTGAATGACTTGTTCCCTTTAATTCATTCTGTGGAGAAAGTGTGATGGAAGGGGTTGAAGAGTCTACAGAATCTGCTGGTTCAACTTTTACTTTTATTTCTGTGCCATTGGCAGTATTATTGGGTCCTTTCTCTCTTTTAGAGTTCTTTCCAGAAAGTGTTATCTTGTGAACAATTTGCATGTGTCGTTTAAGCATTATTTGGGAACTATATTTTCTCTTGCAAAGAAGGCATTTGCATGCAGTTAAATTGTATTCAGCCTTTGAAGAAGACTTTTGTTTTCGAGTCTTAAAAGATTTTTTAGCAGAAACTGTATCCAAGAACAAAGGCTGCCCAGGCTTTGTAGCTATATCAGGAGTAATGGAATCCCTCCTTAACCCCCTATGAACTTCATCAAAATGCCTCCTCACATTGGCTTTTGTAGCAAATGATTTATAACATACAGGACAACTTCTACCTAATGTTATAAGCACATTCTTATTTCGTCCTTTTGTGGAGCGCTGATTTGGTTTCTTCTTTGTTTCTATGTACTTCTTTAGCTCTTCCATCTTTTTTTTGTGTACTTTTCTAATGTGCCGACGTACACTACGTCTGGAATGAAATTCTTTTCTACACAGACAACAAATCAACTGGTGGCCAAAATCAGAATTATCAGAAGAGTCCAGTTCAGGATTTAATGCTGGAGGTTGTTCATCAGGAGTAGGCATTACATTTATTACAGCATTAGCAGGTGGTGACTCTAAAGTTTCTGTATCTGGAGTTGGAACAGTTTTGGGCTGCTCAGTAGTAGGTTCTTCTATTTGTGATGGAGCTTCATCAGGAGTACTGCTGATCTCAATGTTCTCTTCTGGGTTGTCAGTTCTTGAAACATATTGAAACACAGCATTCTGATTTGTTTCTATAGGTTCTAGCTTAATTACATATTCTTGTTTGTCCATTCTTGGATAAATCGCTTCCAGGAGATTATTTACAGCTTGGCTTTGTTTATCATTTACATCTGGGAGGTCTGTAAAAATAAAAAACATATAGTTTAATCTAGAAATCTCAAATTATTTCAGTTTTCATACTTTCATGTGAACTTTGAGTATTGGCCTAAACATTGAATTATGTGCCCACAAATTTTCTTTTTAATTCAAAATTCATGTTTGTACTACCTTCCAACACTTGCTATAATTAGAGCTAACCTAACAAGGAGGAATCTTGCTTAATTTGCAAATTGAGCCACCAGTTCCTATTTCCAGTAGTGGATTTTCTCTGGATAATCAACATAAATATTTTATTACGTTAGGATCAATGTCCATAAAATTATTAAGGATTTTGGTTTACCTCAGAGATTAACTATCGCCTTCTGGTACATTTGAACTGGCAGCCCCCAGTTTAACATGTGCTTTGTGAAAGAAAAGGAATTCCTTTCCAGGAAAATAAATCAACTACTGACCAAGGTCAAAATTATCCAGATGTAAAACATGACCTTGTTCTTTAGGAGTGTTACCTAATGTACAATATCATGAGGGGGAGATTTTTCTGGGGCTACAGTTAGCGTGTCTCAGTGAAGGACCTGCAACTCTGGCTGTTACTTCTCCCTGCCTCCCTCCACCTCCCAGCTTTGTCTATCAGATCCCAGATTTGCTAATTTTTAGGAGACACTACAAGGCCTATATATAAAACTGCAAGCTTTCCAGCAGGGAACATAAAAAGGGTTCAAGGATAAAAGAAGAATTTCATTTGTGGTGGGCTGGGAGTTTCACTGGCAGAAAAATGTTTTTATAAAATGGGAGGTGCCTAAAGTGCAAGATGGGTGCTTGGCAAATTGAAATAGAAATACATAAAAAATATTCAATCATTATTTTTCAAAATAACCTTAATACTGTGGTCCTCAAAGTGCGGTCCACGGACCACTACAGGTGGTCCACAGCTTGAGCTCAGTCCCCCCCCATGCAGCAGGGAGCCCGCACTGCTGCTCCAGCCTTGTGGTCACCATGTAGCTGTGAGGCTAGAGTACCAGCTCTGGCTTCTCGCTTTGGGGGGTTGGGGGAAGAGTGATAAAAGCCCTGACCTTCCCCACCAGACCCAGCTCACAGAGAGAGGCAGTACGGGCTTCCCGCTGCGTGGGGGAGGGCCGGGCTGTGCTTCCCTCCCCCCCACCCTGCCCTGTTGGGGGAATGGCAATGCAATGATTTGCTGTCACATGCTGTCTGGTGGCTTTCCCCACTGCTACCATTAGCAAACCAATGGGAGCAGCAGGAGGCAGTGCTTGGGAGCAACAAGGGTGCAAAGCCAGGTAAGTGCCCCACCTCATACCCTGGCCCCCATACCTCAATCTCCCTCTCTCATCCCGCTCCCCTTGCCAAGACTCTGAGTAACCACCACCAGGTAGATTTGAACCTGGGACCTCTGGAGCTTAGTATAGGAGCCTCTATCTTCTGAGCTAAAAGCCAGATTTCTCTCAGCACCTACAGTAGAGGTCTCTTGTTCTTCTTATCTGTTGCTGTGGTCTAGGTGCCACTGCATGGGACAGTGCATTAAAGCCCATTGCTTCTTGTACAGGCAGTCCCCGGGTTACATAGAATCATAGAATAATAGGACTGGAAGGGACCTCAAGAGGTCATTGAGTCCAGCCCCCCGCTCTCAAGGCAGGATCAAGCTCTGTCTACACCATCCCTGACAGATGTCTATCTAACCTGTTCTTAAATATCTCCAGAGAGGGAGATTCCACCACCTCCCTTGGCAATTTATTCCAATATTTGACCACCCTGACAGTTAGGAATTTTTTCCTAATGTCCAATCTAAAACTCCCCTGCTGCACTTTAAGCCCATTACTCCTTGTCCTGTCCTCAGAAACCAAGAGGAACAAATTTTCGCCTTCCTCCTTGTGACACCCTTTTAGATATTTGAAAACCGCTATCATGTCCCCCCTTAATCTTCTTTTTTCCAAACTAAACAAGCCCAGTTCATGAAGCCTGGCTTCATAGGTCATGTTCTCTAGACCTTTAATCATTCTTGTCGCTCTTCTCTGTACCCTTTCCAATTTCTCCACATCTTTCTTGAAATGTGGCGCCCAGAACTGGACACAGTACTCCAGCTGAGGCCTAACTAGTGCAGAGTAGAGCGGCAGAATGACTTCACGAGTTTTGCTTACAACACACCTGTTGATACAACCTAGAATCATATTTGCTTTTTTTGCAACAGCATCACATTGTTGACTCATATTCAACTTGTGGTCCACTATGACCCCTAGGTCCCTTTCCGCCATGCTCCTTCCTAGACAGTCGCTTCCCATCTTGTATGTATGGAACTGATTGTTCCTTCCTAAGTGGAGCACTTTGCATTTCTCTTTATTAAACCTCATCCTGTTTACCTCTGACCATTTCTCTAACTTGCTAAGGTCATTTTGAATTATGTCCCTATCCTCCAAAGAAGTTGCAACCCCACCCAGTTTGGTATCATCTGCAAACTTAATAAGCGTACTCTCTATCCCAATATCTACATCATTGATGAAGATATTGAACAGTACGGGTCCCAAAACAGACCCTTGAGGAACTCCACTTGTTATCCCTTTCCAGCAGGATTTAGCACCGTTAACAACAACTCTCTGACTACGGTTATCCAGCCAATTATGCACCCACCTTATCGTGGCCCTATCTAAGTTATATTTGCCTAGTTTATCAATAAGAATATTGATCCCTTCCATCGGATCCCTACTTACAAACGGGGTGAGGCAACCCCGCACTAGCTGCTTCCCCCCAGCAGACCAGGGAGACGCGAAGCTAGCGCCCCCCCCTGCAGACCAGGGAGACGCGGAGCAGCTTTTCTCAGCAGATACCTCAGCTTGAGAATAAAGGACTGAGGGAAGTGAGGTGTGGGAGAATAAAACTGAGCTCTGGAGAAATGTTTGGGTAGAGTTTCCCCTACAATATATACCAGTTCCGACTTACATACAAATTCAACTTAAGAACAAACCTACAGTCCCTATCTTGTATGTAACCCGGGGACTGCCTGTACTTGAAAACTGCTATCATGTCCCCTCTCAGTCTTCTCCTTTCTATACTAAACAAGCCCAGTTCTTTCAGTCTTCCCTCATAGGTCATGTTTTCTAGACCTTTAATTATTTTTATTGGTCTTCTCTGGACCGTCTCTAGTTTTTCCACATCTTTCTTGAAATGTGTTGTCCAGAACTAGACACAATACGCCAACTGGGCTTAATCAGAACAGAGTGGAATGGAAGAATTATTTATTGTGTCTTGCTCACAACACTCTTGTTAATGCATCCCAGAACCATGTTTGCTTTTTTTGCTAGTGTGTCATACAGTTGACTCATATTTAGCCTATGGTCCCCTATGAACCTAGATCCCTTATTGTAGTACTCCTTCCTAGACAGTCGCTTTCCATTCTGTATATGTGAAACTGATTGTTCCTTCCTAAGTGGAATACTTTGCATTTGTCCTTATTAAACTTCATTCTATTTACCTCAAACCAGTTTGTCCAGATCATTTTGAAGTATGACCCTATCTTTCAAAGCACCTGCAATCCCTTCCAGCTTGATATTATTTGCAAACTTAATAAGCATACTCTCTATGCCACTAAATTATTCAAGATATTGAACAGAACTGGTCCCAAACCAGATCCCTGCAGATTCTCACTAGTTATGCCCTTCCAGCATGACTCTGAACCATTAGTAACTAGTCTCTGAGAATGGTTATACAGACAGTTATGCACCCACCTTACAGTAGCACCATCTAGGTTGTATTTCCCTAGTTTATTGATAAGGTCATGAGAGATTGTATCACATGCCTTACTAAAGTCTAGGTATACCACATCCACTACTGCTTCCTTATCCACAAGACTTATCTCATCTAAGAAAGTGATCTGATTGGTCTGACAATTTATTCTTTACAAATCCATGCTGGCTGTGACCTATCAACTTATTATCTTCCAGATATTTGCAGATTAATTCCTTAATTACTTGCTCCATTGTCTTTCCTGGCACAGAAGTTAAACTGACTATTCTGTAGTTTCCTGGGTTCTTATTTCCCTTTTTATAGATGGGCACTATATTTGCTCTTTTCCAATCTTCTGGAATCTCTCCCGTCTTCTATGATTTTTCAAAGACGGTAGCTAAGGGCTCAGATATCTCCTCTATCAGCTACTTGAGTATTCTAGGATGCATTTCATCAGGCCCTGATGACTTGAAGACACCCAACTTTTCTAAGTAGTTTTTAACTTGCATCCACTGTTGCTCCTGCACCCTCCCTCCAGGTCACACACTGCACCCTCCCTTGTTCTTGCTTCCTCTCCCCTGGCTAGACACCCTACTCCCAGGCTACTTCTGCATCCCACCTCCCACCCAGACCTTGCACCCCCATCCCATTCCACCCGCTGGCAGTCCTGTCCTGCACACTGAACCCATTTCTGTCCCCATCCTAGAGCCTAAGGAGGTCCACAAAATCCACTAACCCCAGAAAAGTAAATCTGGCCTATGGGAAGCTCTGCACTTCAGTCTCCCTGTTCCTTCCTCTCACCTGTGAGGTTGGAGTGCCACTGGAGTGAGATATTTCAGTTGGGGACCACATCAGTGGGGATTCTGGAGGAGTTTATTGCTTCTCATTTGTGTGGTCCCCAACTGATTTTTCTGTAGGTCAGTGGCCCTCTACCCAAAAAAGGTTCCCCACCCCTGCCATAAATAAAGACGACATTGAAACCTTTTTGTGTTGGGCATAAATTAATATTTTACTTTATTTAAAATGAAGTTTGATAAACTAACATGAGAAAGTTAATATCTGTTTAACAGTTTAATTTAAACCATTCACCCTAGCTACAGCACTATCAAAATGTCTCAGGTATAATCACATAATTAATGGTGAGTTTCCATTAGCAAATGGTGGTCCATGGAGAGGTCTGCATTGAGCCAGGTAGTCCACGGGCCAAAAAAGTTTGAGAACTACTGCATTAATAGGACTAGAATTCAGAATATCTAAATCTGTGTAAATAAATCAAGATTTATTTTAA